CTATTTCTCCCTTCAAATGTACGTTTGCTTCATATATTTGGGGGTTCTCTGTATGCATGCAGAAATTTGTAACATATCCTCTTGATGAATTCTTTTTTTTTAAATTTTTTTTTAAATGTTTTATTTATTTCTAGGAGAGAGAGAGAGACAGCGTGAACAGGGGAGGGTCAGAGAGAGAGGGAGTCACAGACTGAAACAGGCTCCAGGCTCTGAGCCGGCAGTCAGCACAGAGCCCGATGCGGGGCCCGAACCCACGAACCGCGAGATCATGACCTAAGGGAAAGTCGGACGCTTAACCGACTAAGCCACCCAGGCACCCCGATGAATTGATTCTTTTATCCAAACATAATATCCTTTTTTTCTCTCACAGTTTTTAACTTAGTTTATTTTGTGTGGTATTATAGTATAGCTCTCTTTTGGTTACTATTTATTTGTACATAGTATCTTTTTTTCACCTTTCCCATTAAACTTCTTTGTGTGTTTGGATCTAAAGTACGCCTCTTGTAGACAGTATACAGTTGGATTACGCTTTTTCATCCACTGTGTTAATATCAGCCTTTGGAGAGCTTATACCATTTATAATTAAGGTAATTATTGATAAGGAAGGATGTACTTCATTTTGCTATTTGTTTTTGGTATCTTGTTCCTTGTTTCCTCTATTATTGTCTTCTTTTGTTTTATTTTTGGTAGTGTACCATCTTAATTTTCTTCTTTCTTCCTTTTACGTATATTTTAGAGATATTTCCTTAGTGGTACAGTGGGGATTGTACAATGGGGACAATTAACATCCTAACATCCTAAAACAATGTTGTGTGGTTCTCCCATCCCAGCTGGTTTAGTTTTTATTCCCTGAGCTTTACTGAAATATAATTGACATACATCATCGTGTAAGTTTAAGGTGTACAATGTGATTATCTGTACACTGATACATGTACACTGTAAAATGATTACCATCATAAAGTTAGTTAACACATCTATCACTTTACACAATTATCTTTTTTTTTTTTTTAAAGTAATCTCTACACCCAATGTGGGGCAAGCTTGAACTTAAGACTCCAGGATGAAGAGTCAAATGTTCTACTGACTGAGCCAGCCAGGAAACCCCTTTTATTGTGGTAAGAACTTTTAAGGTGTATTCTCCTAGCAATTTTCAAATAAAGAATACAGTTAATTATAGTCATCATGCTGTACATAAGATCCCCAGAATATAACCATCAAGTTTGAAGTGATATCAACTTAGCCACATCAGCATACAAAATCTCTGCTCTTCTACACTTCTGTTCCCTACTTTCATGTTGTCAGATATGTATCTTTACATGTTATGTGTTTAATAACAAAGATTCATAATTATTTTTACAAATTTGTCTTTTAAATCATTTAGGAAATAAAAGTAGAGTTATAAACTAAAAAATATAATAATACTAGTTTTTTATAATTACCTATATAGTTATGTTTACCAGAGATTTTTATTTGTTTATATGGCTTTTAGTCCCTACCCAGTGTCCCCTCATCTTAATCTGTAGGACCTCCTTTACCATTTCTTATAGGGCAGGTCTAATGGTAACAAACAGCTCATATCTGAAAATATCTGGGAATATCAATTAGAAGGGTAAGTTTGCCAGATATAGAATTCTTGGTTGACAGTTTTTTCTCTCTCTCAGCACTTTAAATAGGTCATCCCACTGCCTTCCAACCTCCATGGTCTCTGATGAGAAATTGGCTACTAATCTTATTCAGGATCCTTTATGGGAGATGGGTCACTTCATTTGTTGTTCTCAGGATTCTGTCTTTTGACAATATAATTATAGTGAGTCTTGGTGTGAATCTCCTAGAATTTATCCTAGTTGGAGTTTGTTAAACTTTTTGAATATACATATGTATGTATTTCATCAAATTTAAGACATTTGGGCCACTGGTTCTTCATATATTCTTTCTCTCTCTTTTCCATAATGTGTATGTTGGTTCGACTGATGGTATCCCATAGGTCTGTTAGGCCATGTTCACTTTCACGCAATCTTTATTCTTTCTGTTCCTCAGACTCAGTAATTTCAATGGCTCCACCTTCAGTTTGCTGATTCTTCAGGTTTGCTCAAATCTGCTGTTGAAACCCTCTAGTGAATTCATTTCAGTTACTGCACCTTTCAACTCTAGAATTTCTGTTCTGTTCCATTTTAGAATTATATAAATATATATTGTATATTTATAATTATGTAAATCTAAAACTTCTAGATGTTTTATTTGCACACTGTTTTCCTGGTTTCTCTTAGTTATGTGAGCACATTAAAGATAGTTGGTTTACAGTCTGTCAAGTATTGTGCTTTTTCAGGGACACTTTCTGCCAATTAATTATTTTTCCTTTGAAGGGGCTAGCAGTGTTTTCCTTTTTCTCTGTATTCTTTGAAATTTTTTTATAAAGAAAGCTAGACACTTGAATATTTATTGTGATAACCTGTAAATCAGTCTCTCCCTCCTTCAGGGTTTGCTGTTTCTGATTGTTGAAGGCTACAATTATCTGTTCATCTAGTGACTTTTCAAACAAGTTTTGTAAACTAAAACAAGTCTGTCATGTATGGTCACTGAGCTCAGCCTCTGTTTCTTTAGCTTATGTTCAGCTAGTCTTTTGACAGAGAGTTCCTTGAATGCTAACAGTAAAAGAAAAGTAATACAGGTCTCCCGGTCTTTGTGCTGGGGTACCATTTTAACACTATACATAACTATGTTAGATTTCTGTTTTTACTGAACTTAGAGATGATCCAGGGGTGAAGCTAGGATTCAGAAGTCTTTTCAGAGCACGTTTCCTGTTCTGGGCATGTATGTGGTTTTCTAAATTCCCTTATATACAAGGGTGCTTTTGAAAGTCCTCATTTCCCCCAGCTTTCCTTCCTAGGCTTGAAGTGGTTGACTGTACTGTTAAGCGATGTCCTAGGTGGTTGGAGGGCTTTAGTTCCCCTTAGAATGTTTTTGAACCCACTGCTTTTCTGCCCTGAGTAAGTTCTGAGTTAGGCAAAACAGAGACAAGCGCTTTGCATCAATATTTTATCCAACCCCATACAGGCTGGGACAAACAGAATAATTTCTGAATTGGTCTTCTCTGCTTCCTTTGGAGTCAGGGACCATGATCCCGCACTGGGAACACAAGCTGCTCACTTCAGGACTACTACTGTGCCAGGGGTGTTTGGGGACATGAGCAAGTAAAAACACCACAAAGCTTTCCTATCATTTTTAAGTTGCCTTTTTCTTGATTTAGCATTCACTTGGTTGCTGTAAACCTGTTTTCTAGATTCCTCACAAAGTTGGTCCTGACAGTTTCTGCTTGTTTTTGTGGAGGACTGGATATTTGGAGCCACCTACTCCATCATTTTGTTCCACAGTAGTTTTTTTACGTTTTTAAATGTTTTGTTTGTTTATTTAGAGTGAGTGAGTGGGGGAGTTGTAGTGAAAGAGGAAGAGAGAATCCCAAGCAGGCTCCATGCTGTCAGCACAGAGCCTGACATGGAGCTCCATCCCATGAACCATGAGATCATTACCTGAGCCAAAACCAAGAGCAGACACTTAACCAACTAAGCCACCCTGGCACCCCCCACTACAGTGGCTTTTAAAACATGAGTTACTGAGGCGCCCGGGTGGCTCAGTTGGTTAAGCGTTGACTTTGGCTCAGGCCATGATCTTACAGTTCGTGAATTTGAGCTCCACGTCCGGCTCTGTGCTGACAGCTCAGAGTCTGGAGTCTGCTTCAGATTCTTTCTTAGTCTCCCTCTCTTCCCCTACCCTGCTCACACTGTCTCTCTCTCAAAAATAAAAACATTAAAAAAATTTAAAACATAAGTTACCATCCATCTGCTCTTTTTTAATGGAGCATTCTGCCTCTGCGTGGGGCAATCAGCAGGCCTGTCTCTCAGGGGTACTTCTACTTCTTGGTACCTCATCATGTCTCTCATCTCCTAACACTCTCTTGCTCCAATACACCCAGGACTGCCTTGTACCACCTGGGTTTGTTGGGGGAGGTCATTGAGAGGATGCGACCGCTGGTTGACTACTGAACTGGATCCAGGCAACTGGAGGCTCCTCATCCTCTCACTTGTCTTTAGATGTACATTCTGCTGGCCTTCCCTGCTCCCAGAAGCTGCCCCAAAGACAGAGCCTTCAGACAGTGATATGGTGCTAAGACCATCTGGATAGTATTTATGACTAAACCCAGTTAAGGCCACTATTATCAACTTTTAACATTTGGCAGGCAGGTGCTGGGATTTACTTGGATTGCAGCCACCCAAGACAAGCTTCTTAAATAAGTTTCCTTGCTTACTAAACTGCCACCTACCAACCTCGGTGGCCTGCTTTGTTATTCAGCCTCTCCTTCCCTGCCATGTACAGGGGCCAGTTTAAGTTATACCCAGGAAGTTCCCAAGGTTTGTCAACCAACACTGCCATTAGCCCAACCTTCCCTGGCCGTCTGTACATTGCCCAGGTGTCTTGAGAATAAACCATAGGTCTCATGTAGTTAAGAGTGTCTCTTGTAACATAGCCACCATCAGATCCCAGTAAGGAAAGTTAGCACTAGTAACCATTCTAATCACTGCTGAGAGGTTCAAGCTAGTTGAAGGCTCTTTGGAAAAGGACTCTCTAGTAGTGTTCTGAAGTGGATCAGGGTGGCTAGGCAGTGTGAATATAGCCAAAGGGAGCAGGTCCAAAGCCTGAATTAGGGCAGTACCTTGAATGCAGGCAATCAATACCAGCCTGGTAGTTGGGCTGGGAGGGCTCAGCTGGTGACCATCATATCACACTCTTCTATGTCAGGTGGGGAAAACACGGTGTCCTGCTCTGGCACCAAGACAGCCTGGGGAGGAAGTCAAATTTCGTTCTGATCTCTAGCCTTCGCCCTCAAGTCCATGAGGCACCCTATCCCTAATGATGATATGGTTGCCTTCTGGGGGTAAGCACAGGGTGACATGGATAAAGTGCCTTTAGAATGAGGGCACCAGTGCAGAACTTGCTCCCAGTACCTGGCTGCTGAAGGTGAGAGGGGGTGGTTCCTGGCTCAGTGTAGTCACAGCAATGGGGATCACGGAGTGTAGATCCAGGGTGGGTCATGGCAGGAGCATCACTCACACATGCCTGGGCTGCAGGGATCCAAGGGGATGGTCCAGGAACTGAGGGCTCCATTTCTGCCTCTTCAGAGCGAGCTCTGAGGCTGGGCATGGCTGGGACCTGGAGACCAGCAAGGATACAGGTGAGTTTGCAGTGGGCCTAGCTCCAGGGATCCATCCTCCCACCAGGCAGGGGTGTCTTTTTCTACTCCTACAGCCTGAGACCAGAGGAGGGCCTGCTGCTAGGTCTCAGGAAGGGTTAAGATGCTGACCCCAGGGAAAGGTGAGCATACAGTGTCCCATGAACACCCCTAGAAGGGGTTCTGCCATGATAAGAGAATAGCACCATAAAATCTGCACCCACTGTGGGCCCACCCCTCATTCCTGACACAATGTCCTGAAGGTAGACCATCAGATCCAATCATGGCAGAGGACCATGGTATCTGAATTGTGTCCTCCTGGCAGCATCCAAAATGGGTATCCCTGTCTTCCCACTGTACCAGTGGCTCCCTCCCAGGCTCCTCCTTATCTCCCTCTTCATGTTTGTATCCCAGGGTTTATTTTTGAACCTATATCAATTTCTCTGATTAAGGAAGACATAAACACCCTTATCTTGTGAAGATTCCCAAGTTTGGGCTCATTTCCAGCTCTAAATGCTTCTTTTGAGGAAATAAAATATTCCCAATGACACATGATAGGTCCAGGTTAGTGATTTCCCTGACGGCTCCAACTGCCCTGTCTCTTCAAATGTGTCATGCTCTGCTCAGTTGCCACTTGTTGCACCATGCTCTGCTCAGTGCCTGCTCATTTGTGGCAATACCTCTTGGCCCCTTATTCACACTGAGCCATTGGTAGATTATAATGACCCCTCTGTCCTTCAGAGATTGAGAAGACAAATCAGGAAATGCTAGCAGAAGCCCACTGTGGACACTGCCTGCCTACTGGGCAATGTGTAGTATAAGCCCAGACAGTTGTTTTGTTTTGTTTTGTAACGCAAATGTCTGAATTAACCTTTGACTGATGAGGCATCCACTGCAAAGAAGCATCAATTTCAAAAATGATTATGGGAGAATAAATGCATTGCCAGCCACTGGACTAGATAAAAAGCCTGGCCACCTCCTTTTAGCAATCTTGGTTGATTCTGATAACTGGTCATTTGGGTCACTTGTCATTTTTCTCTTCTTGAACTTTAAATTTCCACTCTTATGTTTTAAATTCGCCAATAAAGAGTGAGCCCATGAAACTCTAGGTATCCACCCTCAACTATAATAAAAGCAGAAGCTCAGGCCCATGCACCTCTCTCTTTCATTGCCTGCAAACTCACTGTGTGGCCCCAGGTGTGCTAATCTACAGGCCCTCGTTTTGAGTTTCCTGATGGTTTTTGTTGCAGATAAGAACCACAAGTGTAGGTCCAACCAAATCATTAGTTTTTGACAGGCTGAGACTGGCAAGAAGCAGAGGCAGCAAGGAAGCAGCAGCACCCTGGGGCAGGCAGGCATTTAAACCAAGCCCAGGGAAGAGGGCCTAGGCAATGCCTAGTTAGAGAGGTAGGAAAAGATGAGGTAAAGCTGTGGACAGAGCTCAGAGGCAGGGTCACTGGTATAGAGACTATCGGGGCCCTTGGCTGCCTGAGTGGTGAAGCACCGGCCACGTTTCTATATTAGGACAGACAAAACTAACCTAACACTAGTGCTCAGAGGAATGGCACAGACAAGATTCAAATCAAGGAGAGCACTGATTCAAGCTGCTTGTCTATGCAGCAGCAGAACAGTGCAGATGTTGCTTCCATGAGGGGAAGGAACCTTCACTCTCCTTCTCCCAAGGGGAGACTCGATCATTTGCAATATTCACTCAGTTCACTTTATTTTAAAGTTTATTTATTTTGGGGCACCTGGGTGGCTCAGTCAGTTGGGCATCCAACTTGGGCTCAGGTCATGATCTCACGGTTTGTGGGTTCAAACCCCACATTGGGCTCTGTGTTGACAGCTCAGAGCCTATTTCAGATTCTGTATCTCCCTCTCTCTCTGCCCCTCCCCTGCTCAAGCTCTGTGTTTCTCTCTGTCTCAAAAATAAACAGTAAAAAAAAATTTTTTTTTAATAAATAGAGCTTATTTATTTTGAGAAAGAGAGTTCGCATGCAGGAGGGGCAGACAGAGAGAGAGGGAGGGACAGAGAGAATTCTGAGCAGGCTCCACACTGTTAGCATGGAGCCTGATATGGTGCTTGAACTCATGGACCATGAGATCTTGACCTGAGCTGAAATCAAGAGTCAGATGCTTAACTGACTGAGCCATCCAGGCGTCCCAGTTCATTTTATTTTAAAATTCTTGAAGAGGTGCCTAGGTGGTGCAGTCGGTTAAGCATCCTACTCTTGATCTAGGCTCAGGTTGTCACCTCACAGTTCCTGAGTTTGAGCCCCACACTGGGGTTTGCTCTGATGGTGCAGAGCCTGCTTGGGATTCTGTCTCTCCTCTCTAGCCTTCCCCTGTTTTTCTTTCTCTTTTGCTTTCAAAATAAATAAACTTTAAAAAGTAAAATAAAATTCTTGAAATTATCATCACTGTCACAGTCATATGGCTCAAATATGGAAAGGCAAAAAAGCACTTAATGGTCAAACAGTCTCAGCCAGCCACTCAGTTCCCCTTCCCAGTTGTTACTCTACCCTTCCAGAATAGTCTATGCTTATTTTACATCTTGTTTTTTTCTCACCTCAGTATATGTGGGATCCTGCCCAGGAGGACATAAACCCAACTTACGGTAAACAGAATGTCCCTCAACACCTATGTCCACATCCCAATCCCTGGAGCCTGTGGATATGATACACTACACAGCAAAAGAGACTTTGCAGAGAGAATTATCTTGGTGGACCAAATCTAATTACGTGAACCACTGTTGGCTCTGAGATGCAAGGTCTCTGTGCGAGGATTGGGGCCTCAAGAGTCAGGACAGTCAGCAAGGAAACAGGCACTTCAGTGCAATAACCTCAAAGGATTCGAATTTGCCAACAAGCCTGGAAGCAGATTCTCTCCGCTAAGAGCTCAACAGGGTGCTGGCAGAGGCAACTGGGAAAGACAAGCAGAAAGCAGCCCACGGCAGCATCCACAAGACGGGCTCGGCTCATCCCTAGGCCCCACTCGCGTGGGGGAGTAAATCCCTCTGTCTCCTCACTGCTGCTTCGCCACCTGAAGAGTGAATCCATCACCCAAGGCCTCCAGACAGGACACCCGGCGCCAAGTGACAACCTCATTTCTCATGCAGCTCAGCACAGCTCTGACGTTCGCACACAAGTCCAGAGGCCCCTCCTACACCCCAAACCCCACGCGCCAGACACCACTCACCGCACACCTGCCCCGTCGCCTAGGGCAGCCTCGCCACGCAGCCCTGCAGGGAGGCTCCGGGGCGGGTTAGGCTCGGCCGTCCTGGGCACCCTCTGGAGGGCTGCCCTCAGACCCGCTCTGGGGAGGGGCCTCCGAGGCCCCAACCCCGCCCAGGCCGAGCCGCCCCGCCCGCCCCTCTGCCCACAACGCCTAGTCTAGACAACCGGAGGCCGGCACCACCCGCTGGGGCAGCGGGATCACGCAGGAGCTCGGACCAAAACGCGGGGGTTCACCTGAGGGAACTCCTCCGCTCCGGGTGACCACTCCCGGCACCGCGCGACGGCGTCTGCGGAGTACTGCGGCTTGGCCCCGAGAAGAACCCCGGAAGTCCCTCTCCCGACTTCCGGGCCAACGTTGTCTCTCTAGGCGGCCGGAGGCCAGAGCGACTTGGTGGTCCGGCTCCTGACCAGGCGCTGAGGTGGAGCTCCCTAGCTTTCCCGCTTCGGAGTCAACCGAGCAAGCCGCGCTGTGGCGACTAAATGTGAAAATACGACGGTTAGAAATGCGGAAGAATGAGCTGTACCGCTGTAGTGAGACTTGGAGACACAGTTCTGGAATCGAACAGACTGCAGCTTGATGAAGACGTGAGGGAGCACGTGGGAGAACGGAATCGCTCAATCAGTAAATGGGCAGATAGATGGAAAAACTCAAATTCCTTACGTAGGTAATATACATTTAGTGGGAGTGTCCGTGGAACATTTACAGAAATTGATTATACGCTTAAACATAAAGAATAGGAATGTTTAAAGGTATGTATTTGACAGATTATCAAAATTAGAAACTATAATATAAAGTTGACCTAAAAACCTTAAGTATTGGAATTTATAAACATTGTCTACATAACCCTTTTAATCAAAAATGATAGTAGCTAGAAAAGTACAGATTATTTATAAAGCAATGAAAAGCATAACGCTTTATTCTCAAACCTATGGAACCCAGTATAAAGTATAAAAGATATAAAATTGAAAATATTTCAGAGAAAAATATATAATGTATTGATAAAATAACGGAAATTTTAAAAAGGAAATTGTCAACTTTTAATGTTTGTAGGCCCTGCATGGACTCTCAGAGAAGCTATATTTTAACATCATAGTCATCAAAACCTCAAAGCATGAGCTCAGTTTCTACCTGGAACACATTATACATGTGCTTCATTTACAAATAACCCGAAAGGAAGCATTCCAAACATAAAGAGAAGAGTAAAACCAAAACCTTTCCAGGGCCCAGAAGATTAAGGTTATACAGCTCTGCCTATACTAAAAACTTTAATATCATCTCTGTAACTTTCTGAAATGATTTCTGTCTAATGATTTGTAACTAATTTATTTTTTTAAAAAATTATATAACCCTGAACCAAATGTTCCTTCCCAGGAGCACTCTCATTATTGTTGGGCAGAAAAGTTTCTCTCTCCCTTTTTTTAAAAAAAGTTTATTTATTTTGAGAAGGTGGAGGTTCAAAGAGAGAGAATCCCAAGCTGGCTCTGCACTGACGGTGTGGAGCATAATGTGGGGCTCAAACTCACAAAACTATGAGATCATGACCTGAGCTGAAACCAAGAGTCAAAGACTTAACAGACTGAGCCACCCAGGTATTCTGGAGAACTCTCATCTTTATGAATACTGTGCGCCCAGGGCAGCCATCCTAAATTGGGCTCAGATAAAACTCTCTCTCTCTTTTTTAAAAGAGATTATAGGGGAGCCTGGGTGGCTTAGTCGGTTAAGCGTCCGACTTTCGCTTAGGTCATGATCTCGCGGTTCATGGGTTCGAGCCCCGCGTCGGGCTCTGTGCTGACTGCCAGCTCAGAGCCTGGAGCCTATTTCAGAGTCTGTGTCTCCCTCTCTCTCTGGCCCTCCCCTGCTCATGCTGTCTCTCTCTCTCTCCTAGAAATAACTAAAAAAATTTTAAAAAAATATTTCTAAAAAAAATAAAAGAGATTATAAAAGTTTTATTAATATTGAGTGTATCTGAAGAAGTTAGAAAAAGGAATAATACATTTCTCTGCACCATCAGTAATCAACAAGATAATGTAACAAAAAATGAAATGTATTCCATGATAGCAACAGAACCCATAAAAATATTGGGTAATTAACAAAGAGCACTCAAGACCTCTGTGGCGAACACTTTAAAACTCTAGTATAGGACACAGAAGATGATCTTAGTCAATAGAAAGGTATTTCTTGCTCTTGGGTTAGATAACTTAATATTTCAAAGATGTAAATCCCCCCCCCCCATTTAACCTATAATTTCACTGCAATCTAGTCAAAGTTCTAGTTGGTTAGGAGGAAACTCAAAATGTGTGTGGAAAAAGAAAAATCATTGAATAGCCAAAGCAACCTAAAAAGGGAATAGGAGGATGTGCTATCAGTTGTGACAGAAGAAAACAGACAGCAGAAGCAGGACAGCAGAGAGATCAGTATCAGACTTTTGTGGAGGTAGAAATTCAATAGATGATAAATGTGACACCACAATCAATGGAAAAAGAGTGGGCTCTTTAGTAGAAAGTACTGAGAAAATGAACTCACTCAATGGAGAAAAACAGGGCCAGATCCCTACCTAACAACACACACAATGTTAATCTCTAAATGAACTAAAGACCTGATATGAACAGAAATGAGGTTAGTAGAAAAAATACACAGTAAATATTTTGAGATCCTGGGATGAAAGAGATGCTCTGCTGGTCAGCCATCGGAGAAAGACAAATAAATGACAGTGAGATACTACTTCACGCTGCTGGGTTGGAGAACTTAGAAGCCTGGATCACACTAGTGTTAGCACTTGAAGTTCAAATATTTTTCTCTTACGTAAGATCACAAATTTTATAGCAAGTTCCCTAGGCAGTGATCAGCGACACAAGTGCCTCCCCTGAGGACGTTCTGCCCACTGGTTTGGGAGGAAAGGAGAACAGATCATAGGGATAATGAGCTGCTTCTGCCACAGTCTTTCCATGTGGTCACCTGCTGCACCAGGATGCAGCCCCTGGTCAAGAGGAAAATCCCAAAGTCCTGTCCAGTCCCGAACACAGCTCAGTCCAGTCCCTCTGGACAAGTTGCGTCTCCAATAGGTTCTATCACTGAATGGCAAGTTACTCCCAACCTGGAGTGTGGAGAAGGAAAATGTGAAACACACAGCAGCATTCAAACTCTGCTTGGTACTGTCCAAGGTAAGTCTGACATGTGGTTATTTAAAGAAAACTGTGTAGGGGCACCTGGGTAGCTCAGTTGGTTAAGTATCTGACTTTTGATTTCAGCCCAAACCCATGGTTTGTGAGTTCAAGTCCCATGTTTAGTTCTGTGCTGATATCACAGGGCCTACTTTGGATTCTCTGTCTCTTTCTCCCTCTGCCCACCCCACTTCACTTGCTCTCTCTCAAAATAAGTAAACATTAAGTAAAACTATGTAGTTATTTGAATGCAAAGTTTTCACATATGTGTAAGCAAACTTAGCAGTCATCTCTGTGCCCTGTCTGCAGAATCCTCCTGTGGGTACCTCTGCAGGAATGCTGGAGCTCCTCTTCCTGTCAGGGAAGGGAGCACTGGAACAGCACCCTATCACCTAGACTCAGCTGTGGGAGGCACTCCCTGGGCCTTGGACCTCATTACATCTAACCTTGCTTTCTGGGGGGTGTCCTTGTCCGTAATCTTCATGGTCAGCTTCAAAGGAATGTGAGAGGCTGCCCTAGCCACAGCTGCCTAGCTTTGCAGGAGCTTCCTGATTGACAGCTGGGTCCCTGAGTCAGGTTCCTACATACATACTTCCATTCAGCTACACATGCAAAGATCCCATCTAGTAATGGGTTTAATCCTGAGGATTCGTGTCTTTTATTTGTTGGTCTCTTATGCTCACTATGCTTCTCTGTCTTTCCAGCTCAAGGTGGCTACCTTGAGGCCACTTACACCATCATCTATCCCTCAAGTATTTACAGAATGACCTTCCACAAGCAAGACACAAGCCCACTCTCTTGACTGGACTGTCTTCATATGTATTGGATCTGGTGCAGTCAGAAGAGCTCAGTGCTTGAACAGACACTTCTCCAAAGAAGACATCCAGATGGCCAGCAGACACATGAAACGATGCTCAGCATCCCTTCTCATCAGGGAAATACAAATCAAAACCACACTGAGATACCACCTCACTCCAGTCAGAGTGGCTAAAATGAGCAAATCAGAGAACTCTAGATGCTGGAGAGGATGTGGAGAAATGGGCACCCTCCTACACTGTTGCTGGGAATATAAACTGGTCCAGCCCCTCTGGAAAACAGTGTGGAGTTTCCTCAAAAAATTAACAATAGAACTCCCCTATGACCCAGCAATAGCACTGCTAGAAATTTACCCAAGGGATATAGGAGTGCTGATGCATAGGAGCACATGTACCCCAATGTTCATAGCAGCACTCTCAACAATAGCCAAAACATGGAAAGAGCCTAAGTGTCCATCAACAGACGAATGGATCAAGAAGATATGATTTATCTATAAGATGGAATACTACATGACAATGAGAAAGAATGAAATCTGGCCATGTGCAGCAACCTGGATGGACCTTGAGGGTGTTATGCTGAGTGAAGTAAGTCAGGCAGAGAGGGAAAAATACCATATGTTTGCACGTATAGGAGGATTAGGAGAAACTTAACGGAGGACTGTGGGGGAGAAAAAGGGGGGAAACAGCAGGGGAGGGGGAGAGAGGCAAACCATGAGAGACTTTTGAATGCTGAGAACAGAGGACTGATGGGTGTGGGGGGGAGGGGGGAGATGGGCTTGGAGGACAGCACTTGTGGGGATGAGCACTGGGTGTTCTATGGAAACCAACTTGACAAACTATTTGTAAAAAAAAAAAAAAAAAGTTCTGTGCTTAGAAGGGCTAGCACTTGATTTAATGCTGGGCCAACCCCTGTTATCTCTGGCTAAGAAATCTAAATATTTGAGAGAAATGTGGAGCACTCACTTGGCTGCCTTTTCAGAGACTTGCTTTCTCAAATCTTCTTGTGGGGTTCAGAAGAAGCTGGTATTTTCAACCTTGTGGGGCCTTCTTACCAGATTTACAGATTACAGACCACAGGCAATGGGAAACCCCCTTGTCCAGCTGTGGTCTTCTCTATCTGCCTTTCTTTACCCTAAGTCTCTCTATATGGGCTTTGCTGAAAGTGTCAAGAAGTAACCAACACTTGCCAACATTATGAACTATTTTCAACCATTTCTTCTAGGGCTATAGTTTTAGTCACAAGCAATCTACTCATAATATACCACAAGCAAGAGCATACCAAATGCTTTTTCATGCATAACAAGGGTCACTAGCTTTCT